TGGGCTACGTAAAGCTTCGCAGACCTTTCAACGTTTTATGGACCAGGTTCTCAGAAGACTCAACGTTTGTTTTGCTTATCTGGATGACATCCTAGTAGCCAGTGCATCCGAGAAAGAACATAAACGACAGCTCTATGAACTATTCAAACGTCTTGACCAGTATGGAGTTGTCATCAATGTCGCCTAATGCGAGTTTAGCGTACCAAACCTAGATTTCTTGGGACATCATATAAATAAGCATGTACTTCGACCACTCAACGACAAGGCTATCCGCAACAATCCAACACCGCATAGCGCGCGTCGGCTGCGGGTATTCCTAGGATTGGTAAATTTTACCGTGGCTTCATACCCGGCTGCGCTCAAATCGCCCAACCGCTAAATGACCTTTTGCTGGCTCCCAAGAATTTCAAACCGTCATTTTCGTGGCCCAACTCAGCATCTAATGCATTTACCTTCATCAAGACCGCGATTGCCAACGCCACCTTGCTAGTGTACCCTAAACCGGATGCGCCTACCAGCATCATGGTAGATGCTTCAGGCACACTAGTAGAAGCAGTACTACAACAACACATTAGGCAACAGTGCAAACCTCTTGCTTTCTTTTCACAAAAATTAATTAAGAGCAACCGAGACTCACTACTGTGCCTTCGGACGTGAACTGCTTGCCACATATCTCAGTGTCAAACATTTTCGTTATTTTGTTGAAAGTCTTGAATTCTTTATTCTCGCGGATCACAAACCTCTCACTATCGCCCAAACATCAAATGGAAAGGCTTACAAGCCTCAAGAAGAAAGACACTTAGCATTCATCAGCGCATTCACCACTGATATCCGAAACATCACAGGAAAGCAGAACGTGGTCGCTAATGCTTCATCACGCGTGGATATTGCCGCGTTGAATCTACCCGGTGTTGAACAGGTTGATTTTGCTGCTCTCGCAAAGCATCAGAAACAAGACGCAAATTGCCAAGTTGACACACAAGGCACATTTCTTTGGCTGAAGAAAACGTTAGTACGCAGACAAACAATCCTCTTTCCGTTTTTTTTTTTTTTTTTTTCAACCCGAAACCCACGGCCATACGTTCCTGCCGCCTTCCGCTGGAAGGTGTTCGATACCCTGCACGGACTGTCACATCCTGGAATACGAGCTACGCAAAAACTGATCGCTGTCCGCTTCGTTTTGCCGAAGATGAACACGGATATCCACACTTGGACAAAATCATGCAGCTCCTGTCAAAAGTCTAAGATTGCCCGTTTCGGGGTCAGGTCGGCGGTCACTACAGATCGCGGTCGTCAGTTTGAGTCTCACCTCTTCGGCGATCTCCTGCGACTCCTCGGTGTAACCCGTATTCGCACAACAGCATACCAGCCAGCTGCAAACGAAATGGTCGATAGCTTTCATAGATAACTTAAAACATCACTACGTGTTCACAACTCTATTCCCTGGACAGAGGCTCTTCCCGTGGTTCTTCTAGAAATTCGTTCCACGATAAAAGTTGACATGGGGGTCTCTCCAGGTGAGCTTGTTTATGGCACTACGCTACGTCTGCCAGTCGAATTTCTTCACTCGACATCACCAGGCTCTTCTCCTTTAACACATGATCTCACAACTATGCGCACCTCTTCAGGGAACACTTCCGACAGCTTCGGCCTCCTACGTAACTAGAAGCTAATATTGCCCCTGCTTGTATAAATCCCGACCTTGGCTCCTGTACCCACCTTTTCGTGCGGATAAACAGGCCAAATAAACCGCTTGAACCAACCCTACCAAAGCCCATTCAAGGTCATCAACCGTAATCTCAAATTCTTCACCATCGACATCAATGGCTGCCAAGAGAGACTATCAACTCATAGACTAAAACCAGCTTATACGAACGAGCTTACTCCAAATACCATCCTCACGACAAGGATTACACCCAGTGGGCTCCAGTCACCACTCGAGGCGAAAAACAACTTGCATGTGCATTGGGATCGACGGAACTACTGATTTTAATTTTAGCAAACTTCGTTTCTGCGGAGGAGGAATATCTGTAGCGGCTACCGACGCGGAGAAACAAGAAGAGAGCTCGTGCAAAGAGATCTTCACGAGCCAGGGACAGAACAGGGCGGCTGTACTGCCAGTGGTACATACCTAAGGGAATAAACCATATTTATAGGAAGACGCCTCCACAGTGGGTTTTGACGATTGTCGTGTGTGGCGTTTTTGAACCACACTCAATCTCAAAGCATTCAAAACAGAGCTTGTATACGTTTTATTTTATTTTTATATATATGCAAATCGGTAAAATGACATTTCAACTACTATCTATTATTCGTCGATCCAATCTTCGTAAAAATCCCCAAACATGCCTCCGCGAAGAACTGTGATCTAAACTGCGGATTTTTTTTAGTCGACTATGTATAGTTTTGTTTTTAAAATAATACCACGTGTAGAACCTTTCATTGCCTTCAACAGTGTGCAAAGTTTGTATCTTAATCACGTACGAGTACTAAGAAACAAAATTATGAAACAGAAAAGGTTTCCACTTTTTGCTAAATTTCAACACGCTGTAAAAAAAAAAAAAAAAAAAAAATTCGCGTCCCGTTTTTTTTTTACACCCTTCTTTTCGACAGAGTACATTTTGTTAGAGGTATATCAGCACTGAAATATGCACTAGTTTCTGGTTTTAGGCCTCTAAATATGCTAAAAAAGAGCAAATGCTGATGCTGGGTTTATGGTCTATAAAGTATATTTTATTCTTTATTGTAATAATTTGATAGATGTTGAATAAATACTCATATAAAAGATATTAATGTCGTCAGGCGTATAATAACAAGTTTGCAACTCCAAACGTCTAAACACAATAAAATCGCAACTGCCGAAAGCGGGTTTTCAGACAATTTCCACCGGTGCCATGGTTGGAGAGGCCTCAAGCCTAAACCCTATGTGCTACATAATTTATACTACGTTAAAAATATCAAAGTATAATATTGTAAAACATTAGCTTAAAAAACATCAGAAACATAGATTTTTAAATACGAAATTTAGTATTTTAATGCGAAATTTATGTTGGTAGCAGAACAGAATCTTTTTTTCGAATTTTAGAGGCTTAAAACTCAAACCCAGTTCATATACCCCTAACGGAATGTACTGTGGGTAAAACAAATATGTAAAAACCCGGCGAAAAAAAATAGAAATATTTCTTTTTTTTATATACAGCGCGCTGAAATTGAAAGAAAAGTGAAAACCTTCTCAGTTTCATAATTTATTTCTCAGTACTCGTACGTGATACTCGTACATGATTAAGACACAAATTTACATAATGTGGAAGGCAGTGAAAGGTTCTACACGTGGTATTATTAAAAAAAAAAAAACTAAACATAGACGACTAGGAAAAAAATTCGCAGTTTAGGTCCCAGTTGTTCTCGAAGGCATGTTTGCGGATTTTCACAAAGATTCAATCGACAAATAATAAATAGTAGTTAGAATTTTGTTGTACCGTCTTGCATATATATCGCAATAAAAAGATATATAGAAGCTCTCTTTTGAATACTTTGACATTGAGAGTTCTTCAATACGACAATGCCGATGGCGGGTTTTGACGACAATCGTCAAAACCCGCCATCGGCATTTGCTATTTTTTTCGCATATTTAGAGGCTTGAAACTCAAAACCAAGGCAAACACCTCTAACGGAATGTATTCTGGCTAAAAAAAGGGTATGAAGAGAATGCGACGCGAAAAAAAGGAAAAAACTAAAAATGTTTTTTATACAGCATGCTGAAATTGAACGAAATGTGAAAACGCTCTTTGTTTCATAATTTATTGCTCAGTACTCGTACACGATAAAAACACAAACTTCGCTTAATTTGGACGGCAATGAAAGATTGTACGCGTGGTATTCTTTTTAAAGCAATACTAAACAGAGTCGACCTAAAAACAAAATCCGCAATTTTGGTTACAGTTGTTTGCGGAGGCATGTTTGCGGAATTTTTGTATAGATTAAAGCGACGAATAATAAAGAGTAATTATAATGTCGTCTTACCTACTTGCATATATATCACACTAAAAAAATATAGACGCTCTCTTTTGAATACTTTGATATTGAGTGTGATTCAAAAACGCCACGCACGATAATCGTCAAAACCTCGTCGTTCTTTCCCGTTTATTTGAGTTTTTTTTTTTTTCAAAAACTAAACAGGTCAGGACATTAAAATAAAAAAAAGGATTGTTCTTCTTGGAACATGCGCCACGAAATATAAATTCTGAAGCAAAATAAAAAATACGACTGCACCTCGTTGCCTGAATCCAGATGAAACCGCCCATGTATATATCCCTGTACCAACCTGTGTCAGTGTTGTCCCCTTTTTTCTTCTACATTTTTTGTCCCAGTCTCGGATTTTACAATGTCGATAGTTCTAATTCGCGTCTTGCTGAGCGTCATCGAAAGCCCCTGAATCAGCCAAGTTCAGAAATACTGAGAACTTATGGAATGCGCGGTGATTCCCTGAATCTAGAACTCGTGCAACAGACGCAAGGTTGGAGGTGCGATAAGACAGAAAATGAGAGACGGAAAAGCAACGTGGACGGGTTGTCCCATCACAGCCTTGCGGTTGTTGAACCATTGGTAAATTTAGCCCGTCACTGCGCTAAAGTTACCACTCACTGGGAACGCAGTGATGCGCTAAAGTTACCACGCGTGCAACAAGCGCATCCCCGTGCTTCCCATGCACTCTAACTTTTATAACATTTAGTGACCTAGCGGTTTTCGATGACGTTCACCAAGCTTCGTATTCTAACTATATATCTATCATTACTAACTGACAATTTAATGAACAAAGTTTAGTTAATTTAACGAATTATTGTTAGAATTACCCCTCCTAAAATTTGTTCCCTGGAATGCAGTTCGTGCAGGTAAGTCCAGGGGACCCACCTGCACAAACCGCATTAGTGTAGCATTCCCGGCTGTTTTCTTTTTTTAAAGTTTCTAAAAGTTAGGAAAAACACACAGTACAAAAAAAAGCCTCTAGATGTCGTTTTTCTTATTTTTTTTATTTTTTTAAAACCTTTATTTTTGACATATGGATTGAACTCAAGTTGAAACGGGCTATCGTCAGCTTCTTAATCTCTCACTAATCTGATCCACGAGTGCCAAAGTGGATCATTCCCGCGAACAGTGGTCCCAGGTGACACAGTTGCCCAGGTCGTCCCTGAAGAATCCGTCGTCGCAGAAGCACCCTTCCTCGCAGTCCTTGGCACAGTGGTGGCCGAGCGTCGGAACCTCGCACGTGGTCTCGGAGCAGTTGGTGCTCGCGCAACGCCACACTTCCCAGGCGCCGCACTTGGGGGTGTCATCCTCCTCTTTGGCGTCCTTATCGCCTGCGTGAAGAATGCCAAGGGCGATTTGAATTAAACTGTAGCAGTTGAAACGAGGGGTAGTCGGGAACCACCGGTTTTATGGCACGCCAGACACGAATGAAGCAACCCAGATCGGTTGGAGCTCCCTTTCCGACACTACGATGAATAATATGGAGGGTTGTTTCCTGGAGCGGTGCATCTGACAAACTGTGTAGGTCGGTGAGGTGTTTTTACTCTTCATACATTACTAGACAATGCGCTTAAAAATGAATGAATCTTGGCAGTACGGGTTAATAATTTAGTAATTGGGAGCGAGCCTTCTGCCTTTGATAACGCTTTTGTGCAGACCCATTTTGAGCCTGGCGAAACGTTACTCGTATTATGTTTAGTGTTGAACGTTTTGCTCACGCGCAACCATTGTTCAAAACGCTTAGAATAGTAACAATTACAGAACACTGCACTAATGAACTTCCACTTACATACCAAATAAAACGTCTGTCAAACGAAATCTAGTTGGTTTTTTTATCTATCGCTGATATAAAGCCGATTCTGTCTACCTACCCAAGCCGTGGTGTTGATATTTGGTCAACGCCACGCGCAAGGACAAACAATGGTATCCAAATGTTAACTTTTTTTCTACCAACTGTTTTGAACAGTATTAAAATATAAGGCATAGATGTTATGAGCACCCTCAAAAAAACAAAATATTATGTTTATGTTTTTTTTTTAGTTTTCGCCTAGTTTAACTCTGCTTGAGGTGATCCTCGGTGCAAGAGCTGATTTGTGTGCCCAGTGTTGGTTATTTATGTTCGTTCGCCAGACTGCTACTGTGGCGTGCGAAATGTACCAGGGTTTTCTTGTCAAGTTAACCGGTGCGCTTGCAATCTCTGTGTAAGTGTTCTTTAAAAAAATTTTGTGTTGCGTATATGTTTGTACAGCCTAGAACTTGTTCTGCCTCAACGGGCGAGGAGTATTTCAGCTGTAGATGAGCTATTTAGCCAGTGCGGTACAACCGCTAGCCTGGGGTCTTTAACGTGCATCACGTAGTAGTGATACACGAGCACACGCCGGTACGATGCTCATCCAGATCGAAACGCGCAGGGCTGGGGATTGAACCCAATATCCTGGGTTCTGCAGCGCGAACTTTCGCTCCACGTGCTCCGGAGTGTTCCTTAAAACTCCAGTATTCTCGGCAAACAGTACTAAAGTTCAAACGCAAAACCCCACAGTACAGCAGAGGCAATGCCACCCCTCGCGCCGTCGTTCTTCCTACACTCGCTGCCCGCTCCCTTCGCCTCAGTATGCCGCCGAAGTTCTTTCTCTGGTGACGCTCTCCCTTTCCCCCACCCTTCCGGCAGCCGCCGTTGTGAAATACCCACATGGTCGCGCTTCGCATGCACGCTCCCTCGCCTCCCTGCTGTTGCCGTCAAGGTTCTGTCCTCGTGTAACCCCGCACCTCCATAGGACCGCTAGCATATGTACTTTCGGTTCTTCGACCGCATGCGCAATCGCAGTCGCCCCCGTTCTAAAGAAAGTTTTAAAAAAAAGTATCATTGATCTTGTTTAACACATGGAACATTTCGCGCAATCTGTCCACCAATGTACATTTCTCCCATTACTTCCACTGAAAGCAAAGCACCCGTTGCAAACGCTGTACAGAAAACTGGCTGAAGGCAAGTCTCCTTCAACATGCCTTTCCACGACGCTGCAGCTACTGCTCTCAGTTGCAGGCTTGCAGCACTCTTGCTGTTTTTTTTCGATTTTATTTAGTAGTGCACGCGTGGTCACATGCGCGATTTTGTTCAATGCAAAGTTTATCGACCGATACTTACACGAAGGAGCATTGATTACCGTAGTATGCCAGTCCTGCATTGTTGTTCTTCATCGTAATTAGGGTTTCGTCTTAAAATGCCGAATAAACATCATGTTTCTATCTTATTATAGTCACAGACAAGATGAAAATGACCGGGGAATCTTTCGGTTTCTAAGGCTACACAGTGAGCTTCCAAATGTGCGTAAACGCTTCAGCGTACATGTGAAATCCATGACCTACCTGCCCAGCCAAAGCACAGCAGAAGGCAACGGGGTAATGCTGGAGGACGGGCTTCGAAGATATTACTTGACTACTCGACACTAAGCGAAATTATTCAAGAGTACGTTATTCTTGGGAGCGCTGATTTTGTAACAAGGACGAGTGTGGCTTGACATGCATATATATATATATATATATATATATATATATATATATATATATATATATATATATATATATATATATATATATATATATATATTTATATATATATATATATATCTTTTATTGGTAGCAAGAGGTTAGTATTATTCTGGTTCTTTGACCAAACCGTATTAGCTCATTGTTATTCTACTGCTCGCCTCCACTGAAATCGAAATGGCACGTGATTACACTATCGTCTTTTTGTTCAAACCGTGCCAGAAAGTAACGACTAAAACTTGTTTTCCTTACGACTCTCTGAGCAATAAATTATCGAGTAACCGGTCCTTCCTGTCCTTACAACTGGTCTTCAAGACTTGATTCAGCCGAGTTAGGCATTGGGGTTTATAGACGATGGTTAAAATACACAAGACCCCCTGAGCTCACCCCTCTGTTCCCGTATCCGCAAATCGCCAATCAAGCACTCACAAACGTTGACTGCAATCGTAATAGCTCTTCGCACACGAAAGAAACGTCCAGCATACTCGTATTATGACGTATGAGGATTGCAGAAAATGTGCTTGCAAAAAACAAAATAAACAGATTTACGTTTTTTTTTTTTGTTTTTTTTTTTCGATCCTAAATATATGCTGACGCAAATGTCAGCATTCTCAGAAATAATTAAAATTCCGATTATCGAAAAGGTATTCGCAATAAAGAGACCGTTTCTTTTTTACTCCCGTGCTCTGTATATAGAGGCGCCTTCTCATTTAACATTTTCCAGAAACTAAACATGTAATGTTTAATTATAATTACGCCAAACTATGGCTTTATTTCGGCTATAATAAAGTTAATGCTTGTGTGGATAAAAATATGTTTGGGGTGGTTTTCTTTTTTTCTTTGTTAATGTCTCGAAAGCGTTGTGTTGTAATTATAATACCAAGTATGACTAGAAGACTAACAGTCTGTACCTCAGCTACTGACAGTAAACGAAAGCGGAGTTCGGTTTAAATGACGTACTACATTAAAAAAAAAAATACCAATACGAACCGCAAAAAGCGTCAAATAAGCCTGGAGTGCAAGTTCGTCGGCTTCTTTTGTACGGGTTCTGGTGAAGTCAAAACGCCGAGCTGGGATTGGCTCTGATTGCACGTTAAGGGGTAGACCTCAAAGCAAGGTGCCTTGATGTCTACCTACTATCCTTCAATCAGAGCTAATCAAAGCTTGGCGTTCTGACGTCTCCACAACCCCTAAAATTGCAGCAGTCGAACTTCCGGCCCGCATAGCACTGAACAAAAAGACAAAGGAGGCTTTCTCATTGTGTTTGTCATTTTCATTGGTTTGTCACAAAATTAAATATCTAAGCACTTAGTCACCACCATATTAAAGATTAAATCAGTATCTCCGCAGACTTATAGCAAAATTAATTTGAATTTTTTTCCTGAAGTAGAGTGTACGGACACGTAAGAAGAATATATGTTCGGCTCTTTCTCCTCAAGATAAATTATGAAATCTATTCTTGCCTTAGTTACAAAAGCTTCACTCAAAAAAGTATTTCAGACATGCTGGAGGTGTTCGCGGATACACCTCAGTCTGTTTACGGAAAAAAAAATATTTATGTCATAGCCAAGAAAACCAAAACACGTCTCACCTTCGCCTTTCTTCTTCTGAGCGACCACTAGAGCCAGCACACAAACCAGGAACGCAAGAGCGAGGAACTTCATGTTGCTGATAAATTGCCTCTTCTCAGACCGCCGAACTGCTATCAAAAAAGTTCCTTACGACGCGATAAAACCCGAGCAATTTCAGCCGAAACTTCGGAGAATCAAGCGCGGAGAACTCGTGGGATAAACCTCGTGCTTCGAGTGCCCCAGATAATGTGCTGTACCAGCGAGCACAGTGCCTCCGAGACGTTCCGGATTTTTGTTTTCTTCATCTATTTCTTTTTTAGTTTGTCTTTCCTGAAAGACCTGTCTCCACCCTCGCCGTTTGGTCTTTGCCAAACCGGTGTGAACTCGGCGCTCGGTAGGTCGCTCACCCCTCGCTTTTTCTCCAGCCATTACGTGCCTCTCCTCCTCCTCCTTTTTTTTTTTTTTTTTGTCTTAGGGTAGATTTTACTTTGCATTCTTTGAGAGAAAAAAGAGAGAGGGAGAAAGAAAGAGAGAGAGAGAGAGAGAGAACGAGCGAGAGCAAAAAACTTGTTTCTGATCTAATGTATTTCATTTACCTCGAATTTTTATTATTATATAGTTTTAATGAAAAGGTCAATTTTATACTGAGGTATCTAGCGTTTTTGTTATAGTATTCTACAGAGTTACATTAGTTTCAGTGTCCGTGAAGCGTAACTCGCGCGTGAAAGCGTTGAACCTTCTATGCTTACGAAAGAAGTACTGTAACAGTCTGGAACGTGTTTGGTATTTCTGTTTTAGTTATATCTTTGACGGAGTAAGACATCGTGTGGTTGGGACGTGTTCAGTGTTTTCCCGAAGCAGTGCGCGTGGAACAAGCAACATTTTCCCTTAACCTTGTTCCTTCTAGTTTTTTTTTTTTTTTGCATATTTTATTTGTTGGAGTTGAAAAATATAGGTTATACTCCTTCATGTTCGGCCGTCGGAAGTGATTACTAACGTATCCTGAACGACGTGTGTGAAGTCTTGTTGAAACGGTGAAAATATACGAGGATATTAGAAGGCTATTAATTTTGTCTATGAATTAAAGAATGTCAGCGTCTTTGTTGTTCGTTACCCAAGTAATCACTCATAACTTCACAGTGTTTATAGAAGAATTTGACAAACACTCGTGGTCTGAAAGTCTTTGCTAAGTTTGAACTTTACTATTTAAGAAAAACTAGTAAGAACAATTGCAATAAATTTTAAACATAAATTACGTTGCACCTATTATATAGATATTCTCAACATATCTATAGTTAATTAATTATCTAATCATTGTTACCTAATGTAACTGTAATTATGCGTCTAGTATTCTTTTAAAGCTGTGCCTGTCGTCTAAGAGACTTACAAATTTGTATGTCGCTGACGTCCTTAGACAGTTTGTGTTTATTGTTTTGTTTCTTCCTAACATGTTTCTGCCAGTAATTGATACATGCAGGTCGTTATTTTGTTTGTTATATCCCCCTCTTAGAACGTACTCAGGAGAGTGGCATTATTGATTGAAAAAAAAAGAATATTGGCAGAGAGATATCTGTTATTTTATCTCAAGACCATATCTATAACAACATATATAAACAAAACCTTTTTTCTTACTTGATATCTCAACGGATAGAAGAAGCTATATTCCGTAAGGGCGGTTGCTTGAGAAGTCACAAAACGACTTGAAGTCGCGGCCATTCGAAAGGGCGGATCAAGAAAAGGAAGCTTTAGGGGCTGTTCCTGGTAGGCGTTGTCTGGGCGCTCTAAAAATGACAGAGATTATGAGGCGTCTTTTTTATGACGTTCTGCGACCCGCATTCAAATGGCATGTCAGCATCCTTAGATTAGTCTTTCTTTTTTTTTCATTTATTATTATTAGGAGTGTCAGCCTTCAAGATAAACAAAATAACGACTGCCTTTCACCCTCATTGCGTCGATTAAGGCTGCTAAGTTTTCACTTTGTCCGACCAGGAACCAGGAAACAAAGTATGTCCGGGAGACAGTGTCAAAAGGTTACCTCGATTTTGTATTTGTACTTCAGTGCATTCTTCAGCGCAAAATTTAATAATTTTCACTTTTGCGTACGAACCTGCGGGTGAGTAGGTCATCCAGGAAAAAGAGAAGGTCTAGTTCCTTGTGTATTTTACTTAGTTCATATTTTCTGATGAAACATTTGCATGATCTTTTTAGTAAATCAAACTAAGCTTGTTTCTTTCTAGTTTCACTGCAAATGGAAAGTCTATAGTCAGTTACAGGTTAAGAAGGTAGCGGCAAATGCCCCTCAAAGGGAATCGGATATCCCTCCGCCACCTCCGCATCCAATAGCGTCCCACCGTTTCCGTGACGTCGCGGCCAACGCGCGAGGAGGGTCTTGCCTTTCTGTACATAATTGCTTTATCTTTCGACTTTGACTTAGCATTGTGGAAGCCACGAGAGGGAGATTAGAGTTCTCCCCCACCGACGGAAACAAATACGACTTTCGGGGATTAGCTTCCTCCCCGATGGATACAAAGGCTGCTTTCAGGGGCTCGGTTCCCTCTCCGATGAATACAAAGGTCGCTTTCTTAAAAAGTGGGATCGGAGACAGGTGGGAATCCATTGAAGCGGAACAAGGAGCGTTTCCAGTGAACTCTTCTTTCGACCGCGGAGAGATTTGAAACGGGCGCATCACACTTGTGGGAGGAGCTTCTCCTACCTTCTTGACTTGTAACCGACTTTAGTGCGAAAAAAGCCGCCTTTACTCAAAGTGAGTAGTGCAGAATGATGCTATGTTTTCATTTTTGTCGTTTATTTTATTCACAGAGCGGCGCACCTATTAGAAATATTTGGCGAGTGACGTTTAAGTACTCGATTACACAATCTTTGTAATGTTTCTTGGGTATTGAGCCTACAAATTATTTTCTAATAAAAACTAGGCAATGACTAATTTCTAAAAAGAATGTTTCTCGATCTTTCATGTTCAGTTCGCATTTGCGAGGCTGACTGTGTTTTTTACCGAATAATATTATATCTCAATGACAACCTCTCACTCCAAGACGACATTGACCAAATTTACGGCTGGCATGCACCTACGTTTCACGTGTTCCTCCTTTCACCCAGTAAAAACGTTAATGCTTCTCAGCGTCACTTTTTAGACCACTAACCAGTACAAATATTGTAGTGTTCATTTACCGAATGATAGCCCTTTTCTCTCACAATCATTCACCCCCCCCCCCCCCCCCCACCCAAACCAAAGGTGACGTTCGAAATTACGGCTACAAAACACTTCCTCTATTTTCCTGTCGTTACAATACTATGTTACCCAATGATATATCTCAGAATGTTTATGTTGACAAAATATTAACCTCAGCTAACCGCTCTTGATTGTATTCGTCGTAATTTTAAAGCGACTCCTTCCAAACGCAAAACACCTTTTTACAACACTCTTGTTCGACCGAAAGTGTAATACGCTTTATCTATCTGGAATCTCCACCGATCTGTTCTCTGAACCGCAATTGAAGCCGTCCAAACTCCTTCAGCTCGCTTCGTCTAATCCGACATCTCTCGTATATCGAGTGTCACTGCAGTTAAATATCAGTTTAACTTTAGTGACGTATTGAAGCAACAGAATGCTTGGATACATCCGACGTAACTACCCAAAAGCCCCTTCGTTCCTAAATATTTTGTCATATAAAACACGAATCCGTTCAAAACTTCATCAAAATATGCTTCATCTGTGTGGGATCCTTACCAAGAAAGTTGAATACGTTCATTTCAAATGGTTCAAAATAATTCTGTTTGTTTCATCCTCTCTAAATATAAAAGAACTGCCAGCATAAGCTCAAGGAAATCTAGCCTCAAGCTGTCAACACTACCATCTCGCCGTAAATTATTTCGACTATGTCTATTTCACAAGCTCTTTCATCACCAATATCCGAGCCACAAGTTTATTTTACCTCCCCCGTATATCTCACCTAGATTGGATCATGCTCTTAAGGTTGGAATTCCAATCTGCAAAACTGACGCGTTTTTTTTTTTCATATTTTTTTCCCACGCACATTAGAGGAGTGGAATCGCCGTCCCAAACTGATGGCAGCCATCGAAGAGCACATAATGCCAAGAATGCCTCAGCTATTATTGTATGATTAGGAGCCTCTTATTTGGCTGTACTAAGAACTGCACAATATTGTACTGTTTTATGAAATTTAAGCACCCTCCTCTATAATGCCTCAGGCCTTGACGGTAAATAAATAAATAACCCCTTCTGATCTGCTCTTGCGTCGTAACATTTATAAGCTTTGCCTCACCTGATCAAGTATATTACTCTTCATTCCTAAGACGGTCTCTCCTTAGCTCAACCACCTTTGTTTGTTTTCAAAACCGTACCACTCATGCAAGAACACCGGACACAAGACAACATCCACAGCCTATCAGCATTCGCTGATACCCGAATTTATCATGAGCAGGAAAGGCCTTCCCGGTTATATCGTCACCACCATCGATAACACCAAGTTTTGCCTCGCATTAACCAACCACTCCGCTCTGTAATGACCCTAGCGGCCCTGAGGGTAATCGTTAATTAAATATCCACTTGTGGTTCCTTAGGGAATGTGTTGGCATCACCCCTGAGAAAGGCCACAAACATCCCCCTTTCAGAAACGCTAACCCTGACCCCATCACCTTTCTGTTTTGGCTTCTTTTTTTTTTTTTTTTTTTTTTTGCTACCTGCATTTTATGCTGCCTCTTTTTGGCTTCATTACGGTGTCAGAGTTAGCGTTTCCCAAACGGAAACGCGTGTGGAGTTTCCGAAGAGTGGTGCTAACACATACTCTACGGGTCCACCAATTAATCTCTCTTTAATATTTTGCCGCCTAATCGGAGAAGCACTAGTACTTCGTCCATGGCATTTGTAGCACAAACCAAGGTATACTCGTTCTGGGCACCTGCAAGTTCAGACTCGCCCTAGCATCGGCGCACGCATTGGCTTCTGACCCGTGACGTCGCCTTCCTTTCGCGTGTTTTTCTTCACTACTCTCCTCCTCTCTAGGCGGCGCGCTTCCCTTTCCACCTTCTTGTCCGCAGACGGACGCCATGAGGTTATTCTTGTCATATGAGTACTAACGCTAACGCATTTACTAAACAAACGATGCCCATATAAAACAGTGGGACGTTAATTTAACAAGATAGCGCCCTTAAGGGCAGTCTTCCATTGCTTCTTTTTGCTCGTCAAACTTGCCTGGTTCAATTCCCACCCTGGCCCGTTTCAATCTGGATTAGGATTGTAACGGTGTGCGACGCAGCACTCGTGCCTAACCTATGCCTTTCGTTTCCCTGATGTAGATGCTGTAGAGAACCCAACACTACGGCCCTCTGTCTAGGTGGTGTTGGCAAAAGGCGCTTTACCACAGCGCAATGCAGGTTAAAGGCCCCAGGCTAGCAGTGGTACTGCGTTGGCTTTGTTTCTGGTCTGTAGCGGAGACATCAGACACCCACGGACGCTGAATAACGTCCCGATCTTTAAATGTACACAGAATCGAATTTATTCATCATATTGCTGTCTTGACTATTTTTTTTTTTTTTTTTTTTTCGTGGTGGACGAGCAAAAGAGCGAGGGGAATAAAACAATAGTCCGTTCGGCATTTTCCTAATCAGTTCTCGATTCTGACTTTAAGGTTAAGGTTCCGAACGAGTGTAAACGCTAATCCAGGGTGCCACAAAAAATTACAGTTTTTTTTTTTTATTTTATTTTATTTATGAATAAACTAGGCATCGGCGTACGCTCATTCTCCGCCGAAAGGTAGCGCTAGAGGTCACAACAAGATGCAAAAGTTTCAGCCCCAATCTGATACCTTATTCAAAAGTTATAAATGAGTTTCTGAAAAGTTCAACAAGAAAATGGAGCCCGCTTTTGCTCGTTTTCGGTTTCTGGTGCCATAGAGCCCATGTATTCGAAAACTACGTCGGCCGCCATTTTCCCGTTGAATTTTTCAGAAAATCACTTATAACTTTTGAATTAGGTATCGGATCGGGCTGAAACTTTGGCATCTGGTTACGACCTCTAGCGCTACCTTTGGGCGGATAATGAGCGTTCGGCAAAGCCTAGTTTATTTTTGCGTTAAAAAAAAAAGACCTGTAACTTTTTTTGTTACACCATGTACTTTCGTGAAGCTCCACTTGCCTGGAGCATCTGCACGCATAGCCATAGGACTGGGTTTCCTACACAATCTACCAAACACTAACGCAAGGCAACGAGTAGACAGGAGTAATGCGTGAACGTTTGTCTTAGGCTCGTGTTCAATCCGCAAAGACACAAGTCTCGACTGAAGGGTAACGCAGCATTCGTGTTAAATTTCTGTCCCAATCGTCTCTTTGCTTGACGTAGGAAATGCAGGAATATGTCACTCTGCGAAGCTGGTGATTCGCTCGCACACGCCTCTCGTATGAAACCCCATGTTCCACATCAAACATTCTGTGTGACATCGTAATGGCGAGACAGTGCTCAAGCCAAGCCAAACCTACTTGCGCGAGCGCGTTAGCATTCAAGACGAAGTCACGGACACGTAATATTGCAGCAGTGCAGCACCGCAACAATCTTTAAGCTACGGCAGCCTCGAGAGCCTAGCACACAATAGTTGACACCAAGTACCCGCGATTGCAGCGACCATTGCCGAACACAGGTTCGTCTGCTTCTTTTGCACGGGTTGTGGTGACGTCAGAACGTCGAGCTCTGATTGGCTCTGATCGAGAGAAAGTGGGAAGACCTCAAAACGGCGCTGCCTTGAGGTCTACCCTCCATCCTTCTAGTCGAAACCAATCGGAGCTCTGCGTTGTAACGTTACCGCAACCACTGCAAACGTAGCAGACGAACTTGGGCTCCTTATAGGGGTCGCCACACTCGGTGAGACATGGCGGTCGAAAGCAACGGGTGCCCCACCATGTTCCAGCTCAACCCACAACGCTCAGGGCTTAGCGGTCACGCCTTGAACGCAAGATGGTTTGCTCAATTTTTATTCATTACGTTTCAAACCTGCAGTTGTGTGTTGACCTAAGGATGCTTCCGGAGGCTCGACCTTTTTCGGGGAAGCGATGAAAGGTCTACATACTGGCCTCCTACCGCGCTGATGAATGTTGATGAACGCACGATGCTTGGTACGTGCGGTTGCAGATGTAGCGTTCCGTGGGACAAAACCAACACAGCCATCGCGGGACAACAGTTTGCCATAAACAACTTGAGAAAGAATGCAAGGAGGAACGAATTCCCGAGGCCACCATGAAACATGTTGTTGTTTTCTGCGGACTTGTGATTGCTGCTGTTTTCGTTGCCTTGGGCACAACCAACGGAACTTCCCTCAATTTACTTTGGCGGCTATCTCGCCAACCGCCGACAACATACAATCAACGGAAGACGCAACAGACGCAGAAATCACCAAAAAAAAGGCAGTTACGGTCAGTACAGTGTTTCCCCATAATGTGCCGTATGTTTTTCTGGAGTCGCGTATAGGGCTATCTTGGCACAGGCGCTTACTGTGACCGCGTGGGCGCAGGTTAGCAACGGCGCAGGTAGCCGAAGAAGGCCCTCGTAGCCTCTCTAAGTCCATCGAAGAGGAGGGAAAAAAAGCTGCTTATCGCCTAAGAAGAGACAGGAACAATGGCATCAGCTCTTGTTCTACGTGGAGGCCCCCACTCCACACAAGATAACTGGCTCGCTTATTGTTCTCTTTATCAGCTGCGAGTGGGCAGGCTCGTTAAAAAAAAAAGGGCAAAAGGAGGGCGGTCGTCAATTGTTGCTTCGCATCACGCCCCAAAATAAGCCCCCATAAACCCCATAATCGGAAAGATTATGCTTTGCGCCGCGTCGGCTCTGCTGTCCTCCGACGGACGTTGTTTTACTGTCGATGGAAGGGTACCCGTTCGCCTATGGTCACGATGACGTCTCCACTGGTTCGCTGGAGGGAGTCTGTCCTGCTGGGCCGGAGGCCGCCTGGAACTCCGACTTCTGCGGTGAGGCAAAGCGAGACGTCACTTTTTGGAGGCCTTTCACGAGCCAAGTCTCGGAGGTGACTGCCTGGCGGGGCACGGGAGGGTCTGTACGCTCGCTGGCCGCAGCGTCTGTGGGACTCACTCCGTCCGCCAACTCGGCCTTTCGACCGGTCCGGGTGAGGCGCCTGCAGTGCACTTTCTGCGGTGTGCCGTTCCTGAACAACGGACAGCTTGCCGGGCACATTCGGATACACACAGGTAGGATATTCGGGCAGGATAGAGAGACATACGAAGTGCACAAACTTCATTCACCGTTATTCTGTTCAGTGTAGTAATTTCTTTCCTCATGGAGGCGGGTGCAAGAGGAGATAGTGACGTGTCGAGGAGGCGGCCTTTTGTGCCTTAGGTACGCTGTGGAAAACCTCATGTGAAAATATTTCACTTTATAGCGGACTTTTATTTTTAGCAATTCTGGAGCACGAAGCGGCGATTGCTGCTATTCCAGATCAAGCTTCAGATTTACTTGCAAGAGTGATGATAAAGGGATTGTCCGGAGATATACGGAAGTTACTAAGTTTTTGCTCTGGTCACGTAGAGTAGGCCTAAATATAGTCAGTTATGATCATTTTCTGTCCCTTCTATGTTTTGATGTTTCTTCTCTACCCTTGTCTCGGGTTAATTCAACATGGTTAATATTCACTAGCTCGCTTGCACCCTCGCGATTTTTTCTCAGTTATGATATTTGTTTCTTTAAAAGGCGCCTCAATATTTTCTAAGTGAATAATGAAAATCAAAAACTCTACGCCTAATTCCGCAAGAATGTATTGCTGGTGCTGTCGTGTCGTCACATCAGACATGGAAACGTCAGTGTCGCAGGCGTTCACTTATTCGACAACGTTGGTTGCGACCATCATATCAGGCGTCCGCGGACGCCTGATATGATGGTCGCAACCAACGTTGTCGACAGACAATCCGTTGTCCCACGCGTGGGACAACGGATTGTCTGTCGTGCCACACTCAAAACCCCCCTTAACTTGAATTGTGAAAAAATCCCCGTCTTGATCAACATGGTTGATAATGCGCACTAAGATCATCATCGAAGAACTGAGCTGCACTCAAAACCGTGAATCTCGTCTTTCTCAGAACGCGGTTGTTTTCTTTAAACAGCTGCCAAGAGCGGTCGTAGCCTTTGCATGACGTTACGTCAGCGCTTCCGCTGTTTTTCAGCAAAAACGACATGTGTTTTGCGGGTGCAATCTGAGCCGTTGGGCTCTGTTTAAGATTGAAGTACTTGCGCAGCAGAGGATTAGAAATTCGGATATTGTGTGGAAGATAGTCTTAAAAAACAATGACAACATAAATTATTAACTCTGAAAAAAAGCTTCTTTTTATTTTGCGGACAATCTTTTTAAGCAAAAAAATGGCTCAAATTTTGTTACTGTGAGGAGCAGCATATTTAGTGGCACAAAGGGGCCCCGTTATGAACAAGAGAAACGCGCGCAACCTAACGCACGAAGCTATCGGGACGGGGCTAGTCACTCCGCACCAAGATCGCGAAGTTCATTAATGCCAATAACTGCCAATCCGTCACTAGGCACTCTTTGTCTGCCTAATGTATAACCTCGTGATTGTTTAATAACATTGAGCGAGCACGAACCTGCCGCTTGGTCAGCGCCTTATCCGACCGTGAAGCGCCGAAATCAACGAGATACGCGCGTGCGCAAACGACGTGTGCCAACGCGCGCGTCCTCTGCTAGGCTGTTGCCTCAAGGATATCACAAGCATGACCCAGACGACGCTCACGTCGATATGTACCTTTTGCGCACGCGCCGATTATTTTTGTTATCCCTGCTTCTCGCTATGACAGTGTGCTGATCTAACGGCCGGTCCGCACTCGGAAGATAGAAGGCACTTTTAGTAGACCTTTAGCTAAGTTCTTGCTAGCGGGAGCTCGTTCATTCGCTTCGAAGCGTGCATTGGGCACGCGCCCGCTGGGCTTGCTTTCTGCAGCGTGCGATCTACTAAAACTCTCTATTAAAAAAAAAATTGGGTTTAACCAGAATCGTAGGCAATTTGAATTTCTTGTGTAGTTTTAAAGCCTGCTGCAAACATTTGCGTCGGTTGCGTCTACAATGACTAAAATGACAGCCACAACAAGTACACCAGAAGAACCTGAAGACCCTTTCACGATCCGGTAGTTGTCGTATTGCGAACTTACCATGCTGTCCGTATACAAACGGGCGCCTAAGAACGCAGCTCTTATGGCGCGCTGACACCTGCGGATTCGCTGGCGGATTCGCGCAGGCGGAGAGTGGATTTTAGAACCGGGTGGTGAAATGGACACATCACTGGCAGAAAATCTGAATATGTATCCCGGACTGATCCAAATTTTGCGGCAGGGACGAGTCAATTTTGCGACCCGGCTAAGAAATCCACTTTCCGCTTGCGCAGATCCGCCCGCGAATCCGCAAGTGTAAACGCGTCATTCGGCGCCCGTTTCCGGCTTGAGCGGCGGCGGCGTAACCGCGCAGCGCATTATGGGCAAATTTCCCCGCTAAATTTAGGAAAAAAATTCCCCGCTAAATTTGGGAAAAAATTTCCCCGCTAAATCTAGCGTAAAAAATTCTGCGCTAAATTTTGCGAGAAAATTACCCCCTAAATTTAGGGTGAAAATTTCACCGCTAAATTTAGTGGAAATTTTAGCGGGGAAAATTCCCCGCTAAACTTAGCAAAAAAAAAAAATTCCCCTGCTAAATTTAGGAAGCAAATTCCCCGCTAAATTTAGGAAAAAATTTCCCCGCTCTATTTAGCGAAAAAAATTCTGCGCTACATTTAGCGCCAGAATTACCCCCTAAATTTAAGGTGAAAATTTCACCGCTAAATTTATAGAAAATTTTCCCGCTAAATTTAGCGGGGAAATTTTCCCGCTAAATTTAGCCGGGAAGACTTTCCCCTAAATGGGAGGCGAGCAGGGGAGGAAGAGGGGCAGAGCCTCCTCTCCGTAGCTTCCCTCCTCCTCCTCAAGAACTGCGCTCTAATTAGGCGTTAACGGGGATTGTAAACGTCTTTATTTTTTTATTCTGATGACTTTTTCGTAACAGTCGTTTCGATCGATGGGGACGCAAGCAGCACCACTGTTTAAATTAGGTATTACTTTATCTTGGGAAAACTATTAGTCACCATTTCTCCGCTGAATGTCAAAGTCACCTGTAGGAAGCTGCGGGTCCCTACATCTCCTAACTAGTGTTTCATCTTGAACAGTAATAAGAACTTGAGGGTATTAGGGATCAAATTAACGAATGGCATCGGACACGCTCAAATGAAAATGTTTTCGAGAAAATTTTCCAGACAATCGACCTTCATAAATTTGGTGAGACGCTTCCATAGCGCGTTCGCGGTTTGAACTACCGACTTGCCTAAACTGAGGGATTTGCTTGAACTGCGCATGCGCGCGCCTCCGAATACTACAGCATGTAAACTAACGCTTTTAAGGCGCTTTTGAAGTCACGCCAAAATCCGTCTCGCAACGTATCGCGCTGGAGTTTAGTACAGTGGTGCAAGCATGTAGTGAACGTTTAGAGTGACAACAATCAAAAATAAAACTTACCTCGTTGAAAAAAAATTGTTCTGGGCAATTTGCGTTCCCACTTTACAGACGATGCATCCGTAAGGAAAAGTGTGGCCGACAGAATGCGTACGTCGCGTCGAGGGAGCCACGTCGCTGTCGACGTCGATGTCCGCCGACATCGACGCCTGCAACGCTACTCTTTCCCTTGATGGAACTTAACCCGAGACTGGGGTAGAAAAAGAAACTTAAAAGTAGAAGGGACAGAGACAAGTGAAGAAGAGAACGTCTCAAAAGAGAAAGAGAAGAGAAAGTCTCGGGTTAAGTTCCATCATGGTAAATATCCACCAGCTCGCCTGCACTTTAACCGTTTTTTCATTACTCTTCCCCTGTTTGTTTGTTTTTTGTTTTTTTTTTGGGGGGGGGGGGGGGGGGCGACGCAAAGCAATTTGGAATTGGCCGGAGGTTTTTTGACGCGATTTACGCCATCTATCGGCAGCACTTGTCCCATACGCGTGTGTCGTCTGTGATATAGTGGCGTAGATTGCCAAAAACAGTTCTTTTTTTCATTTCAACGATATATTTTTTTGCAATATAAACTTTTATTATTTGCTTGCACCTCTGTAGCATGATACATTGAAATAGCGATTTTTTCGAGACGTCTAAAATGCCTTATATGTGTTAGTTTACAAGCTGTAGTTTACTAACAAGAAAAGATTTAGCAAATCTGCTTTTCAAAATATTTATTAGTCGTCTGTGAGACGCCACCACTGCGTTGTGGAGATGAGTCTGCAGGATGTTCCCTTGTGTTATTTAATCGTTAAATTATCATACTAATCGTTAGATAAATTCGGTGCAATGGAAGTTTATCAATACAGTATCTATAAGGGGTGAATTTAATATATTAAAATGCTCGTGAGTGCAGCTTGTTATAAACAAATCAGAAGAAGCAAACTGTTTTATTTGTATGAGTTGTGAGAAACAGGGGCAGAAGCCTTCTCGTTGACCCAGCTACTCACAGGTTTCACCGCATAAAACAAAAATATAAAAGCTTAGCTTTTTCCAGATTAACACAAAAAAGCACATCTAGCAGATTCACGCATATTTGGTATTATCTGTAAGTAGCAGCATGAACCCAGTATTTCTGCTTTCGTTTTTCTTCCTCTGCATAGGAATAATGCGTTTTCATCTCCTTGCATTCTGTTCAGTAAGCCACGCTCAAAAAATTTGAGCCCGGTAACTCTACCAGCTAAGGATACCCATGCCAACATTTGTCCTGCACTTTGTTAACTAGATTAGCTTATATATACCCTTGTTTTACGACAAATGGTGCGGGGGTGACCCTCTAATGACATGACTGTGACTCATGCCCGTGGATTTAGTGACTGGTGGCTTGAGAAACGAAGGGTGTGGCTGAACACGGGCATTTAATTATTGCCCCACAGCGGATGAAGTCGGGGTATTCGACTATCAAAATTATAAAAAAGAGCAAATCACGAAGCAACAAGGGTTTGCAAAATAAGCCACTCCCTACATTTATAAATCTCTCTGTGATTGAGCGGAGCGCAATTTCGTCTGCTTCTCTGCTTCTTTTGCAGGTGTTTGGGGCGACTTCAGATCGCCGTGCTCTGATTGGCTCTGATTGAGGGATAGTGGGTAGGTTTCAAGGCAGCTTGCTTTGAGGTCTACCCACTGTATTTCAATCACAGCCAATCAGAGCTCGGCGTTCTGACCTAGCCCCAATCCCTACACAAGAAGCACACGAACTTGCACTCCGCATAGTCTTTGACATCGAAGATACGCATAGCGCGGCAAGGTTCCATGCATCTCATTATCGCTTCACAGCCAATGGGAGTGTGGCATTGATCGCAACGAAGACCGGAGAACAGATCACGAAGCTGGAAGTAAGCACATTGTCAGCCACGCGCGACGTTTCATAAGCTATTCCTTACTAGGATATTACTTGGAGAGAAGGTTCGTCGACCACGCGCCAAGACAACTTTGAACTCGCTCTTTCAGGGGACAGACCGTACAAGTGCGGGGCCTGTTCGCGCGCCTTCGCGCGCAACGAGGAACTCACACGCCACCGCCGCATCCACAGCGGCGACAAGCCGCACGCGTGCGACGTGTGCAAGAAGCGGTTCGGGCGCAAGGACCACCTCAACAAGCACCGCAACACGCACCTCAAGGACTCCGAGAAGAAAGTGTACATGTGCCGGCAGCCAGGCTGCGGTCACAAGTACACGCGGACGGACGCCCTGACCAGGCACCAGTGGACGGCACACTGTATCCGCAAGGCGTCTCACGCCGTGGGCTTGGAATAATGTGCCAAGATTTGAGAGCGACTGCAGCTGTTCCATCATCTGTGATGTGGTTTATCGTAAGCGTATGCCGTGTAAGCTGAGACGAGGTGGCGAAATATATTACAGGCCTTACTATCGTCACTGGCAGGGATAGAACAGCGATCATGTCGACCACTTAGTTGCCCCCGCATCCAGCGCGAGCATCTACCTTCTGCTATGCTTCCCCGTATTGTGAGCCTGGAATTTGCACGCTCATTGGAAGGACATTGGAGGGATTGTGCGCGCGCCAGAGGCTGAACTTTGGATTATGGACGTGTTCTTTTTCCTGTCGTTCTCAGTCACGTGGGCTCGGTGTCTGGTATGCGGGACGAACAAATAATAAAATTTTCAATTTGGAATATGGGAAAAAAATTTAAATAGAGGTGAAGCAAAACAAGAATGTATGACAATCGCGAATTCTTTGTAAACACCTTCCAACGACGCGGAGAGATCAAAACGACGTTTTACCGCACATCAGAAGTGACGACATTCTAAATGGCTGCACCCTCGTGAAAAAAAAAAAAATCTATAACCATATTGCGGAACTAAATTGGGAAAGGGAGGAAATGAGAGGCTCCGGCGATGTCAGAGCGACGAGCTCTCATTGGAAGAATTAGTGGGTAGATGTAAACACTAGCTGCTTTTTCTTTACCCACTGGCTTTCTCCAATCGGAGCGAGCAAAACCCTCGTCCGCTCATCGTGGAGGGCCTGGCGTTCTAACACCGAACGCAGGGTCTGCGTTCGGCGTTACCGAGGATAGATCTGCCTCTTACCAGTCTAAGATAAGGTTATGTAAACCATTGAGCAGCTCATCTGCGAGAAAACGCGTACGTAACGAGTTACATGTAACTGGGGGGGGATCGGTGGTCGAGTGGTCTAGCGCACACCAGCTCGGAGCACGTGGAGCGAAAGCTCGCGCTGCAGAACCCAGGGATCCTGGGTTCGAGCCCCACCCCTGCCCGTTTCGATCTGGATGAGCATCGTACCGGCGTGCGGTCGTGTATCACTACTGCGTGATGCACGTTAAAGACCCCAGGCTAGCGGCTGTACCGCACTGGCTAAATTTCTCATCTACAGCTGGGAGACTCGTCGCCCCTGTGAGGCAGACCAAGTTCTAGGCTGTATAAACACACACACAACCCAATTATTATTATTACATGTAACTGATTACTTGTAAATTGTAATCAGTTACATTTTATAGTTACTTCTTAACGCTTAAGTTAATTATGTTTTTTGTGGTAACGTTCGCTGTAGTTCGATGACTATTTACCTGTAATCACTTATATGTTTCCGAAAGAGCTAAACTTATTAAAGGGGCCCTTATTAAAGGGGCCCTGCAACCATATTTAAGCGTCTACCTTTTTTGCGGTTTCCACGTCTCTTGGGGTTCGGGCAAGCCAGCGGGCACGGAGAGAGTAACTAAATATCAGTGCGTCATATTTTAACCGGACGACGCGGAAACCTCCTCCACCGACGGGGGCGACCCGCGGTATTGAAAGCGCGCGAAATGTGACGTCTTTGGTCCTGGGCATACTACTGGTCAGAGCCGCTCGAAGCTTCTTTTTAGTCGAAATACAAAACAGAAGTGGCGCGAACGGTTTCAATTATTTATAAAAGTAGTTTTTGTTCAGTATTTTAGATAAGAAAAGAAAAATATGCAGTTTATAAAGTACGGAAAGAAGAAATGACCCGTCCACATACCCGCCACCAATGCGATGGAAAAGGCGGCGCATGCTAGAAAAGAGTAGTAGGATCAGGCGCCGACACGGAAAGATCCCGGATGTACGCGGCGGCGCTGCGGTCGTTTACGTACTGGAGGATCCGACCGGCTCCGAGCGTTCCGAAGGCCTTCAGCGCGTAGCTTTATCTTGCGTTTTGGCCATTTCGCGGTACGGCAGCGTGAAGTGGCTCCCATTCTGAACTGGTCTTTACCCTGTGTTTGCTGTCGTTTGTGGCCAATAAAGTGTCATGCCGAATTAGTGTTTAATCGCGCAGCAAATGCAATGACAGCCGCTCTGGCTGCCCGCTGTATACAGCCTATCCAGAACACGCTTTAGTGGCGCCCTCTCGCGCCGTCGACACGCAGTGCGGCAGCCGTGAGTGCTCGCTGAGCTGACTATCCCTCCTCTAGTTCACGGCCACTCAAGCAACCAAGGACGTCATGAGGGAGGTTATTTTTTGCTTGTTTTTGTGATTTTAATTGGCCTATAACTTTTAATATAAAGCGAAATTCGAGAAAAGAAAAGTTACATTACGTTACTACGGTCAGTGCGCTCAGGATTGGTGCAAATTAAAAACCAGTAAAAAAGTGCTTTAAGTTTTTCTTAAGTTTTTTCTTAAGCTTTAAGTTTTTTTCTTACACCAACGCTGGACAATTTTTTTTAACCTCTAAAGAACTGGAAAAAAGATCGAGGTACACCTAATCATTCCTTATGAGATGTGAATGCGAAAGCATGCAGGCCGCTCGTCCGCTCTCTTTTTCGTCTGCTGCGTACTTTTCGTCGCCGGTCAGCGCGCGTTCTCCCCTGGGCACTTAGACTTTGGACGCTCCGTGTTAACGGCGCGCTGATGGATACGCGGCGCCATGGGGTGAGGGGTCGTGGAAATCGACGAGCGCAGCGGCGAATGGAAGCCCCGTCGACGCGTGTCAGCCAATGGAACCGAAGGATCGGGAAAACCAGGGGCCGTTTTTGAGCATCAAAGTGATGTCGTCAGCTCGCTCCATAAAAAACTTAATGATTTCGCATGAAAAAAAACAAAAAAACATACCACAATAGAAGAAGGACTAGATTGTCAACACGCCCAGCGACGTTTTGACTGCAAGCGGCCGAGAGTGCCTCGTTTCCTGTGTACGTGTCGTTACGATCCGGGTTTGCCACGGTGTTGAAGACTGCGTCCTTCCTTCATGACATTAGAGAGTTTTAGCAGATCGTATTTTGGCTCCGATAATGATGCCCGCGCTCCCCTCTGGCGGCCTTGGGCATGCATCGCATCGTTATCGGGTGTCGTTATCGGGGCGATAAAACGATGTGCTAAGAAGCTGTATTATCTAGCCAAAGATTTCACCAGGCAAGGGCTGCATAGACTTCAGTAAAAACAAAGGGGTATTTTATCTACGATTTGTTTGTGTTAGTAGATAGGGGTTTCTCCTGTGCGCCAACCCTTCATCCAGTTATCTGTGTCTGCTTCTTCTTGTACCTGAATGAAATGTCGGCGGGTCTTGCAGCATCTTCCGCTGAACGTCTTCAACGAAACCACACTTACAAAAAAAAAAAAAAAAGAGCAGTATTTCCGTCATTAAAGGAGGAAATATTCCTTTTTCACGCCTCCTGTTTTTTTCGTTATCACTCTGCCTTTTCATCTCGTTTTTCGGCCCCGTTTTGTCCTCCCCATGCGTTCACTTTTTTTTCCTTTCGTTCCATGCCACTAAAACTACAGTCTGGTCCCAAAGACCCCTTAGTGACGTGGAGCCGAAAGTCCCGTAGCTGTCAGCCGTCGACGTCCTGGTCCTCATGGACCAGGACGACGCTGGCCGCTACTCCCTACCTGGTGACAGAGCGCCTGGCAGCCGGCACGCGAGGAAGGAGTGACCAGCGGCTCCGTGAGCCGGAGTTCCACCCCGGCTCACGGTTCTAGTCTACAAGGGCTTCGACGACAGCAAGTTTGCTGGAAGTCTGCGCAAAACCGTCCGGCGCCTCAGAAGCCTCCGTGCTGCAGCGGATCCTCCCCCTGGCCTTGCAAGCAAGCACGAGACGAAGCGAGTTCTGAGTCCAGCGGGAACTCGAACGACGTACTCAGCACCCGGAAGACGACCTTGCGAGCTATATCCACGCCATGCAGGAACTTTACAAAAGAGCCGGGCAAGCCGCTCCCCAGTTTGAAAGGGTGGCTTGCATCATTTGCCATTGCCACACTCCTTACCACGTTAACCTGCAGAAGTGGCAGTTCGACACTGTGGAAGCCCTCGTTCGAGCTGCACGTGACACACAAGAAACCATCCAAGGCAGCGTCCGCTACCGCCCGCCGTCCCCCGCCGCTGAAGCACATGAGCGATCTCGCAAAAATTGCCCAACTCTTATAGACAGAGAGGACTTGGAAAAAAAATTGCAAAACATTCGAAAAGTATTTAAGGAAAAGTTAAAACTACATATTTCTACTACTAGCGAAAACAAACTAGAGTAAATAGGAAATAGAGCATTAATACCAAGAGCAAACAAAAAACAAAGTGTCGAGAATAATAGAGATGCAACAATGAAGGGTTTCTCAAAGGTTTGTATAATCTAGTATAAACACCACAGCCTTCCAGGCACTTTTCACGATTCAAACATGTGAAGTAAGATCATTTGGGAGCTTCTACCGGGTGTTTTCAGAAACGCAGGCCAAATCGATCGCTGCTGCGAAAACTTCAAATCACACAGGAAAAAAAAATATATATATATGCCGCGGTGGTATGTTCCAAAATACCACTAAGGAAGATAATTAGCGTTCGGTATAATTTAAAAATTATTTATTTCAATAATTAAAATTTTAATTATTAGCTTTAATGGTACGGTTTCAATTAAAACCTTGATGTCAATCATTCAAAACTCCAAAATCTACCTATACTACCACTATGTGAGGCACGCACAGCATTTCACGATGTTGTTAAAAATGTCTTTGGACGAGTTTCTAGGTTTCGGTTTCATATAATAATAATAATAATAATAATAATAATAATTATAATAATAATAAAAATAATAATAATAATAATAAAAATAATATATTTATTTTGGGTGCTTAAAAACAACCACATCGGTCTTCCCCTTGGTGCACCAATTCAGAAAATAAAACCAGCAAACAAAAAGCTCGAGGGACATCTAAGCACTTATAACTTGTGAATGCGAAAACGTAGAAGGCCCCCCGACAACGTGGATGCTAGAGGCGGCGCCATATTCGTCGGCGACGAGACGAGCAGAAGCTCCGCCGACGATGTGGATGATGGAGGCGACGGCATGATGGTCGGCAGCGAGACGATCAGAAGCCTCCGAGCGCGCGCCGACGTGTCCGATTCTCCCCATAACCCCCACCCCCCGAGAGCCAGTGACAAAAGCGCCCAGTGCGCATACACTATTGACCCTCCCACCTCCCCCCCATGTTCATTCACAACGCTTTCTCTCTCTCCGTTTTAAGCGGCGCGGGGCGCGGGGCCCGTAGTGGCATGGGGTTGCGGCGGTTAGTTCTATCGGCGCACTGGCGGGGCACTAGGCGGCACAAGAATCATATCGAGGAACTCTAGGCGGCACGGGCACGTAGCGCCATCTTGTGGCGGTCGTTGAAACTGACGCGCAGCGGCTGATGGGACCCTGATGAGTTTTTCGTACTATCTTTTTTTCCAGAATCCACAATTTCCAAAAAAG